ACAAAGCTCCGGGCAATAACGATTCTCTGAAACGTTCAAGAGGATCTTATCGAGCGAGGAGAAATGTACGCCAAGGTAACTGGTGGTATCTATTTTTAACCAGGAACAGGCGGGAAGATTTCAAACATATTTGCTCTCTCTGTCATTCAGAGCTTTCGATAACAAGCAATTGTCCTCTAGAAGGCAAAGAAAAACTTCATACATTTTATAGTCTGCAGCCAACTCTCACCACCTAACCCTATGAAGTCGTTTTTTGAATGATGAAAGTACAAGCAATTGTAGTTGTGAAGGCAAAGAAAAACTTCATGCATTTTTAGTCTGCGCCAACTCTCACCACCTATTCCTATGATATCGTTTTTCGAATGATTGAAAAGGTATATCGTAACGTTTTATTCCGTGTTATTGTAGCCTATAAATTTCCCGTAGTGACGAACAGCGATGTCTAGAAGAACGTTTCGCCTACTGAATGTTACCAATAAATCGAGTTCTCCACTTCCTCATCCAGAAAACTCAAGCGATAACAAAATTGTAGAAGCGTTTATTCTGAATATATCGCAAAAAACAAGCTTTCAACCGCGATCTACAAACTTCTGTAACAGCAAGATGCCAGTCAAACACAAATTTATCCTGTGTTTTATACTGTTTCTGCAATAGGACTATTAATTTTATTTTTATCTCAAAAAATTTAATGGACGGAACCTATAGAGTTACAAAGTATCTCATTTTTGATGGCTTGCTTGTGATGAAGTCTGTGCCCGTTCAGTCGCTATGCATGCAACGGATGCTAGTCGACATTGAACGATTATGCACTTTAAACACTTCAAATATTGCAAAGAATTATATGCCAGTTTTCGTTTAAATAGTCCTTTAAACGAGGACGCCGTGTCCAAGTGGTTCTGATGCCGTCACAGCGCGTGTGAAGCCGAGTTTCACTCCTCGACTTTCCGCGGCAGTCAACAAGAGCTCTTTAGGGAACGCCACAGCCAGGCTATCTTCGAGACTTCAAGGAGACTCGCTCAACCAGTAATCTACGCCGTTCAAGAAGAAGACGAATAAACAAACTGAATGTTAAAAGTAGTGGGATCTGCATGATGAAAAAAGCACTGTGAATACGAAACAATGAAAGTAAATAGTAGTGAATTTTCTGAAACAACACAACATTTCTTTTTATGGAACTCCAAGCGAAGGAAAGAAGATTATTGTGTAATAGGTGAAAAAAGGTCTGTTGAAAAATGAAATTCAGGTAATTGGATTTTGTTGTTTACAAGACTAAAAATAGCACTTCACTTGCTATATTATTCATTTTCGTGCAACAATTCAAAAGTTCGACTCTCTATGAACCTCGGCATAATTAGATGTTATATGAAAATCGAGAAAACTTATCTTGATTCCCTGACGCGAGGTTGGTAAATTAGTCGTAGAAGTTCGGCTGACGTTTCGGCGACCCGCCTTCTTCAGTTTCTGAGCGTATGTAGTATTAGTCTCTAATTTACCAACCTCGCGTCAGCTAATCAAGATAATTTTATTATGCAGTAGTAATATTCTGGTAATTACTGGAATATTATTTGCGAGAGCTTCACATCGAAAAATAAATTACTTTATGAAAAAAAAATTAATGTTAATCTTCGTTGCACAGCGATGAGAACAGAAAGAAGAGAGAACGTTGCGTAGGAAAAGAAACAGAGAAGCAAAGGACACAGAAAGAGAGATGAACAGAGGTAATAAAGAGAGGAGACGGATAACGAGAGCGGTACAGAGAAATGGAAAAGATAAACAGAAGTAGATAGGAGAAGGAAAGGAAATTTGTAGAGAGTATTTCAAAAAAAAAAAACTCGGAGAAATACTAGAGATTCATTTTCCGAAGTCTTGCGTTATGCATAAGTAAGATTTAAGCAGACTTGCAGTTCAAAGATTCTCTAGGCCTCAAGAATTCTCAGTATTCATTCGCAACTAATTATTCTACGCTAGAGTTGACTCTCATTCTTCAGGCTTCTCTCAAAGTCAGAAGATTTGTTTCGATACACTATCATTATGAATAACCATTTTTGAGATGTTTCCTTAATACCCGATTTATTTGACACGTTTTTCCGCACATTGTTTGGGATTCTCTTATGCTGTCCTTTCAGAACAGTACGGTCAACATCGGAAAACGAGCTGTCCAAAGACTCATAAAACTGACTTACCCAGCAGGCAAAGTTTGTCATACTAAGACCGACATGGAGACTACGAATGAATCAGGAACAAACAGGAAACCCATCTGAAAGCATGAACGGAAGCGCAGCCGGAAATGAAGATGATTTCCAGGACGAAAGAAGGAATATTTGAGCCATGAACGTCTAGTGCTTTTCGATATTGGAAAAGAATTTCAGAACTAGTAGTCGAAAAAAAATTCAATCGCTCAAGAAATAATTAACTTCAAATTGCTCAGTGTCAATGAGAATAGGTACGTCAACTACGTAAATGAAATGTTTGCAGCTTTGATTCACAAAGATTTTGCGATATCACAGGAGTTGAGACATCTGACACTTACACAGCGACGTCTGATCTATTTTTAATCCTAGAATGGACGACATCGGATTTTTTGCTACACGGGTCTACTGGTTTTCCAGAAGTAGACGATGATCCTTCAAAAATTAGAACACTTGATTGACTAAGTGTATAAGAGAGCTTTTTCGATCGTTCTGAAAGCAAGAATGGCATGTAAGCAGTCATTAATCTTATTATGATAAGAAATCATGTGGTGCAGTCTATTGAAGGTGCTCTGCGCCACACACAAGGTCAAGGGTCGATCTCTCGCTCATGCTACACCAAGCTTTCCATCTCTACGCGGTAGGTAAATCTGGTACCAGACTTGTGCAAAAATAAGCAGCACTGACTTGATAGATCCGTGGGCCACCACGAGTCATTGTTAAGGCCAAGTACGCATTTAATCACCTTGAACGAATTCAAAAATTGAAGGCAAATGCATGGCGCAATTCTCAAGGATTGATCAACGCGTTTCTCCTTTATTTTACTGTGGTCTCTCAATAAACAAATTGCTGCAAGCATTTGATAGTGTTTTGCAGCTTATGTTAGATCTATCTCTGTAGCCACTATACCCACCCTAAACGATAAACATGATGTATTATAGAGACCAAAGTTGAAAGAGTATCCAATCGTTGGTCAAATTACTGGCCAGTGGACACTTTTGAGAGAAAATTTTTTTTCTACATTTGTAAGTGCAGAACGGAGCTCTCCCTCACCAACGCTCGGCACAATATCTTTATTAAATAAACAAGCGATTGTTTACAGGAAGTGTACGAGAAGAAGTCTATACACCCAAGCTACGAAAATCAAAACAACCTATGCTCTGTTTAGCACACTAGGTCATTGGTTCGATATCGCTTTTATGGATCACCAAGCCATCCATCCATCCAGGGTTGGTAAATTGGTACCAGACTGGTCTCAGACTTGTCTGAGAGGATAAGCAGCACTGACTCGGTTCAGCGGGAGTCCCACCGCAAGCCACTGTAAAAGCCAAAAATGCATTCAATCACCTCAAGCGAAGCTAAAAATTGAAGATGAATGCATGGCGCATCCCTCAGGGATTAATCAATGCCGAGAGCTTTATCCTACATCCTTTATAGAGGTCACAGCGCCTTGTAAGTGCTAAACAGCGTTACTTAACAAATCACAACTTAACAAAAAAACGAAAAGAACACAACCCGAAGCTTAAATTGCCTCTAATGAATGTAATTTACTCAAGGGTAAAAAATAAGTAAAAATGAAATATTAATAGAGTAAATTTTTGTGTGACTGGTTTACAATAATAATGGGAGAACTTAAAAGTAAAAAAGTGGTGTGTTCAAGAGAAACGGTTTACTAGGCGAATAAACATTCACGTAGATAATCTGACCTGATGTTGTTACGAAAATATTTACTGAATGGGGTATTTGCCAGTTTTACCTTTTCGTCCTCTGAACAGGGCATAATTATCAAAATGATAGCTATCATGAACGAAGAGAAGTTGTTATAACGACTTTGTGCTTGCTTTAAATGGATAGCGATGACTTTCTACGTATACTCCTGTTAGGTTCTTCAACAGCTTCCCCAGATGCGATTTAAAGCAAGGTGATCATCTTCTGATATGGTCCCTCTGAATCGATAAAAAGTTTGAAAGAGTGTGCGACAGCTGGGAAAATAGAGAAAACAACGTAATCATCCATGAAACCTAAAAGGTTGCATTCTCTCTGCTTCACACGCATCGGCTACTGCGTGTGCTGACGATATTGGGAAGTTCTAGTATGGCTGTGAAGGGAGTGGAACGGGAAAAGCTCCGATCGACGATGAAGTCACTGAGAAATTAGAATTTGTGCTGAAACACAGAGCATTCTTAGTAATTTTACTGAGCTCGTATGTCCACCACTACCACACACAAAGATGCGGTTAATAACGCCAGATTGTCGAAAGTAAGGTGGGCCGACCATGTAATGCGTTTAACGACAATCAATGAATGGGCAAGAGCCGTCGGACCACCAACTCGATGATCTAATTTCTTCATGGAAGGCTTAGAAGAAAGACATGATGCTCAACAAATCCCAACAACGAGGAGGGCTTACTTGAACACTCTTGCGAGCAAGGGAAAAATGGATACTTCAGTGACTCGAGTCACTCGACGGTCAATGAGATGACAAAAAATACAGTGATAAGGACAGCACGAACACGCAGACGTACAGTTACGAGCAAAAAGACGCAAATATTTGAGCGAATCTGAGTGGTGAGCAAAAATACAACCTCAGACGGAGTCGAACCCACGCTTTATTCATACAGGGAACGGTTCTTTTTTCTTTTCTTCTCGAGTTATCGAATTCTCGTTTTCTTTCCTCGAGTGTTATATCTGACGGTGGCTGTCAGCTCAGCTGGGTTAATAAAGCGAAATCGCATACCCGACCATTCCTGTTATGGGTCGGTGGCTGACAGCTAGCATAGAGATGTTGAAGAATGAGTGGTGGCGCAAATGTGCCTCGGTAGTGTAGTGGTAGCACGCGTCCGCTGTATGGATAAAACACTGGTTCGACTCCTGCCTGAGGTCATATTTTGCTCATCACTCAATTCGCTTAGCTACTTGTGAAACATGATAACACTGCGAAAAAATGCGTTAAAAATACTAGAATTCGCGATTATGCAAACCAAAGTTGCACATATATAAACTAAATATACATACATATATCGGTAAGATATCGTAGTCGCTCCAACTACTAAGCTAGACATCTTTTACAAAGTCTAGAGAGTCAGTCCATGGTGATTCGATTGTTAGAAACAAAAGCAATAAAGTAATTCACGTAAACATAGTTGACGCCTTTTGTTTCTGCCTTTCAAAAGAGGGATAGTCACTGGCAAGTAAAGTGGGCGGTATGAAAGAGTTATGACCTTACTGGTACTTGCAAGAGATTTTTGTAAATTATTGAATTGTATCAAAAAAGGGTTCCTACTCGACATTTGATGGTAATCGAAATTCTTGCAGACTTATTGAAAGCACTTTTTTTCGCTCTTTTGCATTAGGCTACACTCAATTAATTCTCGCACTTTATGGCGAGTTTTTCTGAGTCTCTCATGATCATTTGTCAGCCTATTGCTTTCATTACTATGCATATCTGAAAATGACCGTCAACAAGCTACTACATTGATATTTTCAGAGAAAGAAAATCATGCTATTCGGCATATAGTAAAGAGCTCGCATACACATATATACACAGACACATCTATACTCACCTACATGCATATATATAATGCATACAACATATATATATATATACATATATATGATATGATATATATATATATATATATATATATATATATACATAAATGCATTTCAAAAGACCGAATCTTACTAAACCATGACATGAAAAAGTAGAAACTATCTCATGAATTGTACCTTTTTTTTGAACACAGATCTTGTGCGAGATTGCTATCCTCATCAAAAACGGTGGTTAACGTTTTGGCGATTTCATCTACCTTATAGCCTCTGAACTGGTTCATTTGGACGAGAAAACCGAAATACTGTCAGATGTGAACAATTTGTCGTGAAAAGACTGTTCACAGTTCAAGCTCGACTGCCCGTCACTATAATGTCACGTAATTCGATCATCGAACTTACTGCGACTTATTGCTCTGTGTCGATTCCTTCATAGAGGAGTATAGTGTCGAGGGATCGGCTGAACCAACGACGGTGCGGCTGATGAGTCTCGGGAGGGCAAGACATGCGCTTGTACGGCACTTAGACCTTGATGGCTCAAAACATGTTGTAACCTTATCAGATTGTTACTGTTCACAGTCGGTGATCTCTCTGAAACAAGTAGTTCAGCTGCTCCAAGGATGATAAAATCTCTGGAAGGTTATCGATCATTTTTGAATAAGGTACCAACCTTGCACAAAATTCTCAAAGGAAGGATAATTGCATGTATATCAGTAAATTTTAAGTCTTTTATATCAAGCCTCATAGTGCCAAGTAAATAGCTTTGTTACCAAGAAGCCATACACAGAAAACTTGTTCCCTCAAGAGAATGCATGGTGCTTTTTTGAGAATAATAAAGTAAGCTTTTTTGTTGTCACCACATTCCTGCTATATGCAGTCACCTTAACGCGACAATTTGAGGCTTCCTGTCAATTTCGTGCTCTTATAATTTAGTTTCAGAGACGCACGGATTATAGAAGAAAACTGCGAATAGAATAAGTTATACAGTTAAAGACTAATAGTGTAATCTGATTAGGATATAACATGTTGAGTCGTTAGGTCTAGTGTTATACAGGAGCCTGTTTTGTCCCAAGGGAACTAATCAATAACACCCTTCCCTCGATTTAGCCGATCGCCTGAGGCTAAATACTTTTTTTACTCGGCGGCGATTCACAGAGGATTATTTGCGCTACTGATGTATTCCGGTAAGACGAAACGGACGTCTGTATAGCACTAGACCTAACGGCTCAAAATATGTTAAATCCTTATCAGATCATATCGTTTTAAGCGGGTCTACAAAAAAAACCGCTCGAAAGCAGAGGTATGGTTCATTGTAATAGTGTAATGTTTTCATAATAAAGGAAAAGAAAACAAGAAAAATCATTGTCTTGGACGCTTTGAACAACGGCTATTACCATTACGTTATATTGCCTATTACTCTGGCTTCACTTGCTGACAGTATCAGTACCACTACCACCACCAGTTTGTTGATGCAATCGAGAAATCGGGCTCATTTAAGCGGAATCACACTTTCTTGGAATTTTTCTTGTTTTCTTAAGATCACACCGACTTGTGATTGAACACCACTTTCGACCCATAATGTCTCCTCTTTCGTGTGAAAAATTGATGGTAGCTTTTGCAGACGGACAAACCGTCCTTGAGAAGGAGAATGATTGAGTAAAACTTCGGAAACAATTACTAGAATTCGTCACAAACAATTAAAATAAGATTTAATAACGCTAAAAAGAACGACGATTTTTGCGGTAAGTAATGACATTGTAAAAATAATTGCAATACTTGTTAAGTTCTAATGATTATAACATTGAATATCAGCTTTACACTTCCACAATGATTAATTTTTCATGCTTGTAATGCTTCTCTGAGCTGTCGGATAATCTGTTTTTGAGAAGAGTTGTGTGCGTTCAAGAAGATTCACTAAATTGTATTGGTTGTTTCTCTAGTGAAAATCTTCTTCATAGCAATAAATCAAATCCTACCAGAAAATGCTTCCAGCTCGTTCGAACGACTATTCGAACAGGCGAATAGATGTTCGAACGAGCTGGAAGCCTACCCATGTATATAGGCCGAGAGAATGTTTATTTTATGGCAGTACTGATTATTTTTCGTATTTTCATTCAAATTGTTTTACTTGATAAGAGCGTTGAACTTCTTCAATATCTCGAAAGTCAGCAACACATATGAACTATTGCTGGATATCAAAGGATAAGAGATAAAGCTCTCGGCGTTGTCAATCCCTGAGGGACACGCCATGTATTAGGCTTTAATTTTGAACTTCGTTTGAAGTGATTGAATGCATATTTGGCCTTTATCTGGCTTTTACAATGACGCGCGGTGGCATACCTGTATCGAGCTCGGGCTGCCTAATCTTCCACACAAGCCTAATACCAGTCTAATACCTACTCACTGACCCCCGGAGTTAGAAAGGCTTGGCCAGCCATGAGCACGAGACCGAACCATTGACATTGTGTACGACGCAGAACACCTATGAAGGGCGCATTTTTAGATAGAGTTCGATGATAGGAATCAGAAAATGCCACTGGATGGTGGACCACATGCGCTCCTTACTAGATATTACCGCTCAATTATTCCTAGCCATGCCCTCAGAGAAGCAAAACCCTTACAGTAATCCTTTTTTTACAGAAGCTTTAATGAAACGGATAAGAGCAAATGCTAACGTCAGAGTTTTCTGCGTCCAAACTCTAGTGGAGACAGGATTCGCCTCATTGGTCAGTCGTTACTAAGCAAGTACAGACAAGCTGTTAGAATCCCACAAGTGCGAAAATCGCTTTGTTCACATGCGAAATGTGATTAGAATAATAATGCAGATACAATAATTTTTGATAAAAAAGTGAGGCCGATTCCGTGTATCCAGTTTTTTGGCATGACTAAATAAAATTTGTTGTCATGGGATTATTTCGAAAAACTGCTAATTGTTAATATACAATTTTATTTTGAGTTTTCAACTAAATTGGCATCGCGCAACTTTTCCGCCTCTCACAGAAAGCCACATTTTGCACAGGAACCTCGCTTTGTGACGGATAAGTAGACGGTATTCCGTCACCAATGTCAACCAGCCAATTTAACACTATTCGAGAATATTATATTGATAAAGATCTCTTTTGGAAAAAAATTGGAAGGCTGAAAATTTAGATTAGAGAAGAGAATAAGACGATGTGCTCGTAAGAAACACATCAACGCATTTTTGTAACAGAAAAAGGTTCAGAAATTATTTTTCTTCGAAACATCTGAGAAACTGATGAAAAAGAAGTCATTTATTTCCGAAGCAGCAAAGGAACGGATAAAAACAATCAAGCTTATAAGAATATTGAAATAACTAAGCCAATATGTGAATAACGTCCCGTCTCTATGATACAGAGAGAGATTTAAGACTCAAGTGTCACGTAGAAATTAAAGTGAGCAGAAGGCGAGATCTTCCGTTCGGTCCTCTTTACATATTCCCATTTAAGGTGTTTCATTGCCTTTCTCGTAGAAATTTGCTATAACAAATGCTATATGTCAATCGTTTTCGCAGAATATATTGCGAGAGGGGCAGAGAAAAAGGAGGAGGATGAGGTGAACACATCGGCACTTTATGAACTCTAATAGTGTCTATAGCGTTCCTGACCTTCCACAACCATAAGTACGGATTTCGATGCATTCAACCAATTAAATTTCGTTAAACTGTGCCTTCTAGAGTGTGCCTTTCTCGGATCAAAAACTTCTCTCTTACAAACAAAATAATAAAAATTTCAAACAGTAGAGTGATGGCTTCGAGACTTCGGCTCATAGCTCGTTCAATGATACTTGAGTGATTAATAAATAGTAAGTTCAATGCATATTTAGATAAAATGCAAAGGAGCGATTTCAATAATGGTCACCCACGCTTCAGTTGGACGATACAAAATAGTTAAGGAGAAGCAAAAGTGATCTAGCTAGAAATATGTGCCTTGAGACGGGAACTGACGAGAGCACGAGATCCCCGTCGGTTCAACACTGGATTAACATGTGTTCATGTACTTTCCATACACACCTAATCATATTTATATGTCCATTAATGTGCCGTTCTGAATGTGTCTTCCACTCCGTAAACTTATCTAGCATTATGGAACCAAAAATCAGATCGCTGGTACGGCGAATGGCGATCCAGGAGCATTTTCAATAATTAAACACCATTTTTATTCCGATGAACTTTAGCAACATATTCATCAGCATACATGGTCTTCGGTCAAATCAGTGAGTTGATCATGTAAAAACTGCATCAAGCAGTTCCTTACGAACAATAGTGATGGCGCCTGTGCAGTGAACCTCACTGGAAATTTTGGTGCCAATACCTCA